CATCCATCCTTTCAGATAACACTTTCACGAACTCTGGCACATTTTCAGGCAACTCTTCGTAAGGTAAGCGTCCTGTTATAAGAGCTACTGGCAATCGAAGTTCCCGACCAAACATCAGCTTTGATGGAATGTATCCAGTGGCTTCATGCTCTGCTGTTCAATAGGCCATCAACAGTGGAGGGAGTAAGACATCACAGTCACCTTGGCGGCTATTACAAAACTTTGCCAATTCCTGTCCAATTGTACTTTTCTATCATCTCATCAGACTGTTGGTGAAGTCGCGTTGTCCTGGTCTTTCGTATGCCAAACAACTTGCAGCATTCATGGAACACAGCTGATTCAAGTTACGGCCTTGATCTGAATGCAGTTCGTATGGCATACCAAACCTGAAGAAGAAATCACTGATAGCCGAAGCTACAGTTGTAGCTTCCTAATTTGGTATTGCATATGCCTCAGGCCCCTTGGTGAAATAACCCATCACCATACAGATGTACCTGTTTCCAGCATGAGTTTGGGGCAAAAAACCAGCAATATCAACAGCTAATCTTTCCATTGGTGCACCAGCTTGATAAAACTTCATTGGAGCATGTCCCTTATGCCTGGGTCCCCTTTTAGCACAACATGTACTGCAGGTCCTGCACCATTCTTCCACATCTTGCCTAATACCTATCCAGTAAAATCTCTGCCGTAGGTGACTCAAAGTCTTCTTAACTCCGAAATGTCCTCCTGTTAAACTATCATGGGGCTGACGCAGCACAACTTCCCGTAACTTTCTAGGTATAACTGTTTGCCAGGTCGTCACTTTTCCATCTGCAGTTTCCCATCTCCGGACAAGAATAATAACATCTTCAAGCTTCAACTGGTCCCATTGTGCCCGTTCTTTGTCACAGGGCTTAAGCTAGACGCCTTCTCCCAAGCAGGGCGCAAAACACTTGCTTGTAGAAAATCAATTATTGGCTTCAAATCTTGATATTTCCCCTGCTCTGCTTTAATATCTATACATGGTTCCACTTCACCATCATCAACTCCTTCAGTCACTTTGACTTCAGCTTGATGACACCTGGTTATACAACTGCAGTCATTTTTGTAGGGTCTTCGGCTCAGTCTGTCAGCATTTCCATAAGATTTTCCTTCTCTATATTCAATATCAGTTATACTGATCTATCTTTCTGATCCAACATGCCAGTCATCAATCTGAGTTCTTTGACGATCTTAACCAGCGTAATGCAGCATGGTCTGTTCTGATGGTAAACCTGGCCCCCTAGAGGTAAGGATGGAAATATGTCAAACTCTTTACTATAGCAAGGAGTTCCTTCCGTGTTACACAGTAGTACCTCTCTGGTCTACTCAGGACCCTACTGAAGTAGGCCACCACACGTTCGTTTTCGGCCAC